ATGCTAAATTTTGTCTCTGAAATTTTAACATGAAATTTTTTAATAATAATTCCGACACAAAATATACATCATATAAAAAATCATACCAGTTCGTAACGAAAGTTCCAGAGATTACGTATATAAACCTTCATACTTTAGATTTTCTAGAATTTTGTCAATTGGAAATAAAAGGAGTTTGATTATTTTGAAAAACAATTCAATCTGTAAATTCCTTTAATAATTGCTCTAAAGCCCATATAACAATATGTTTCAAAAATTTTATATGTTATGATTTAAGATCCTCCAATCCCTGATATAATTTTCATCATATAATTTTGGCTACCTTTTCATTGAAAACAATATTATACAAGCCGTTGTTTTTTCCTAACACACTGTAATTACAAGTATCATACTAAAATAATTAATGGTTGTATCCGTTTATTATCCGGGTATTTGAGTATTTGGCCAATCAATAAAGCCTAATACCCGATAATTGGTCAGTCAATAATAACAATAATAAGTTCAACATTCGGAAAATCATCTGCCGAATACCCGCCGAATACTGATTTAAATTTATTTAAAATTTAATACAAAAATATAACAATTATTTATTCATCAGGAAAAATATTTTCATTACATTGCAAATTGTTTTAAGAATACAATCCTTTCAAATAACAATGGATTCAATTTTGTTCGTTCGGCTGTCATTGTGTTTCCAGCTTCACTAAATAGACGCTCAGAATAGAAGTTGCTGCAATGCATAAATATTTTTTAGCTAATAATGACACAATTGAATATTCATATTACTTGATATATTATTATAATGGAAAAATGTTGATGATAGCGTATTAGTGGATAAAATAGTATATATAAAAATTTCATTAATTACGCGGGATAAAAATTATTTATTATCAGTATTAGTAATTGCCTAAATTTCGTTTTTCGGGTATATATATAATTGCCGTGTAATTAATTACCTGTTATTATTATACAGTGTCACCAATCAGGATTTTCATGTAAATGAACTACCAATTTTAGAGGCCTGCATGGATAACAGTAATTGAACCGTATCCCGCATGATTTGTACCCAAACCCGTTTCTCAAATTTTATATCCAAACCCCAACCCATACCCAAAAAAATTTCCAAATTTTAACCATCCCGGAATACACCCATATCTTTTTTTATTTAAAAAGTACAATAATAAAAATTTTAAATTAAGGATTACTATTGAAAGCACTATCAACTGCTTCTGGTCTTAAATTTGATCGGGTTTTATTTATTGTTAAACCAGCTGCACTGAACTCCCTTTCACTGGGTGCACTGGAGACAGGAATTGATAAATAATAAGAACATAATATTGATAGTTTTGGATAATGATCTTTCCACCATTCTAAAATGTTTAAATCCAATTCCTTTTGTACTTTTGAAGACAAATATTTATCAATTTCATTTCTTCAGTTTCATCATTATCTGAATCATAAAACTGTTAAATAAACATTGGATTTTTTTTCTTTTAATAGGTCTTATATCATCTTCACCACTACCATCATCATGATTTTTATCACTAGCAAGCTGAAATGAAAAAATCCCATACCAGTGACTTATTTCATTTTTTACCCATTCAGCATCATAAGATTCCAAATTTTTCAACTGCTTCATCTAGAGATCAAAGAATAAAGCTAATTTATATAAATCATGAATTTTAATTTTATCTATTATTTTTTGATTAACTACCAGTTTGATTTGCTTTAAAATTTAAAAAAAGTAAAGCGATTAGCGTTATTAGGCTGTCATTTTCTTTTACGCAATTCTTTAATTATTTCTGGGCAGATATATAATATATTGAGAAGAATTAATACATATGAATAAAAAATTCACTTGTTAAATTCTTTATTATCTTAGCAACAATTTTTCTTCTAAACCATTCTTCTCATGAAAAAAATTATTTTTAATATTCCATCCATTTGAAAATATCACTCAAAGTAAAAAATATAACTGACCCCATATTTTACAAAGATGAGCTGAGAAAATATGTCAGAGTTAAGTGTCATGTTATTAATCCAGCGTCATCGTTGACAAGCACGAGCACGCTTCGTAAGCTTGGATTTAATGAAGAACAAATACCGGCTCTTGTTACAATACAAAAAAGTGGGCCACATACAAATGAAAAAGTCGTTATTGGTGAGATGGTACGAAATATAGCCAATGGAGAAGATATAGCTCTAGAGATAACTTATTCAGCAAAAAAAAAAAAGACGTTTCTGCGTTCTCCTGTCTTTCACGACTCCGAGCCTCAGATGAAGTGATTAATACAACCGATATTCATAATAATTGTGTCCAAAAAAATTCTCTAGGCGATATCACCTATTGTTTTACGAGCACGATCACTCCAAACAATCACACCAAATTTTGAGTAAGCAAGTTTGTTCCAATGTACATGAGAAATTGAATTTCCTATTAAAAACTCTGATCATCTAAGTTTGAAACAGCCACCAACCGATAAGCTTTTTATTTAATAATGCAAAGCTCAAGTCTTTAGGAAAATGGGAAGCAAAACTTTAATTAATCAAACCAGTTTGTAACGAACGTGTTACTAAAATTCTCCCAAAGATAAAGCATAAAGGTATAAAGTTGCAATCAAAGCTTGCTCTTCGGGTTAAGCTGTATTTTTCAAATTTATCTAATTCAGGAAATCAAATTTCTTAAGCCAATCCAAGGATCTACAACAAGGGTTAGCCTTGAGACGTCGATCGCAGGACATTGCAGATATACAGGGGGTCAAGTGTCACTCATATATGGGGCATGCTGCAACAAAACCAGACAAAGTGAACATTGGTATTATATACTGAGAATTTCAGGGTGTGATTATTAAAATCTCCATTTGTTTGTTATCTTAATATTCAATGATATATAGAATTACTTCTATATAAAAATAGTTAATATGAAACTCATTTACATTAGATCTACTATGGAACCCAAGAATTATAGCACATTTAGAAGTATTTTGAAGAAGGAACAAGGTGAGAAAATTGCTCCTTACATTTTCAAAATAAATAAATGATACTCAGAACTGGAAACCTATCTAAGAAAAGAAAGGATTACCTATGAAAGAAAGAAAAATAATAAATGTTGGAAAAAGAAAGCATATGATAATGCATTATTACCTAATAAAAAGCAAAAATCCTTAAAAGGAAAATAACTACCATTTTCTTTGATAATTGGAATGAATTTCAATTTATACAGAAGGAAATTTCCTCAATTACTTTTTTATTTTCAATCAAGATCATCTTTTAATCTCTTTGACTTCAATTTGAGTAGTTAATTGACCATTTTGCTATTGTAATTGGGATAATTGAACTTTTAACTCACTAATTTCTTTTTCATTGGCTGTTAGTTTATCAAATAATTCTTGGGGAGTTAGTTCTTTTAACTTCCTATTTTCTTCTTCTAACTGCTTAATTCTATCCAACAATTCTTGCTTTTGTCTCTTGCTTCACTCTTTGGATTTCTCTTGAAACTTAGCCACTTCCTCTCTTTCAATTTCTAAGGCTTCTTTGGTAATTGATAACTCTTTTTCTAGTTCTCTAGTTCTATTTTCTAGGTGAAAATTGAAAGCTTGTGAAAGTGACTCTTTGTCAGAAAATGGTTTAGTTGATTTAGCTTTTAAATGACTATAAAAACATCTGTTCCTATTCCTTTTTAACTTACCACATTTCTCACATCATGGAAGAGTATTATCATCATAATCATTTTTACATTCACCACAGATAAAGACAATGTCAGAATAACCATCAGGAGTATTACAAGCCACCATTTGATGAGTAGCAAGTGCAGTATCAAAATTAAGGAGAGCACCTCCCCTCTCTGTAATTCAGTTTCATCATCATATTATCAGGGGAGAAAGTCAATTTAGCCTTATATATGTGAGGAAAGATTGTAGTGTTTTAAATAAAGTGATGCACTTGAACACTTGAGATTTACAATGATCAAATGTTATATATTGAAATGTGTTTCCAAATTGTTCAGGTGCTATTTTTTTTTTTATATTCATGCTGCCTTTTTTTGTTTAATATCATGCTTAATGTTAATAGTGATTATGAAAAGCAAAATGATACCAAACGTTTGTTGTGGTAAGTAACTTGATTTCAACCATAATCATAGGTATCTGGTTAACAAACTGCACCATTCCTCCTTCACTACAATACCATGCATGCCAAATAATATTATGTTACTGGTGAATGAACGCTTGTCTTGGACAACTCTTCATCTATAAAAAAAAATTTTAATTTGTGTATTCTGGGGAAAAAAAAATAGGGGTACATAGGCAAACTCAATGAGTTGGACACTTGATAAGTCAGATTTGGCTTAACTCAGACAAAAATTTCCAGCCCTTTTTTTTTTATATTTAAAAATCTCTTGATAAGTCAGACACACATATAAACTCTCGTTAAGCTGTAAGTAAAGCTCCAAAAGGTTCAGTTTCGGTTCAGTCCGGTTTCGGATTCTAAAAAGTCAAACTGAAAAATTTCGGTTTGGTTCGGTTTCGGTTTACTCTTTGAACCAAATTGAAACCGAACCAGAATTTTCGGCTTGAATCGAACTGTTCAGAGCTTAGGCTAAAAACTATTTGGTATTCTAATTTTTGCACTCTGCTTATTTAGAACCAGACCCACTAATTTTCTAATCTAATAACAACCATTGAATGAGTTTTTTTTGGAGGCACAAACTTACTTACTCAAAGGCATTGTATTTTAGAACCTGAAACTAAGAGTTTAAAAGTTTGTGGAGACGATGAATTTTATATATGAATTGAAAAAAATAGAATGTCTTTAGGATTTCTATTCAAAATGAACAAAACAAATAAAATGAACAAAACGAATAAAACGAACAAAATGAACAAAATGAATAAAACGAATAAAATGAGTAATTCGAATAAAGCGAATAAAGCAAATAGAATGAATAATTCGAACAGAACAAATAAAGCAAAAATCAACGAATAATTCGAATAAGAATTTGTATTACGAATAGGAACTCTAAACATACAAATTTTTGTGATGAATCTATACTTTTGGAAATTGCGGAGAAAGGAAAATCCTACATATTATGCATTGCCACAGAATCAAGGTGAGGTTCACTTCAAGAATTTACTTTGACTCAAAAAACAGCATTGATAAGTTAAACTTTATACCCGTGTGCTTTGCAATAATTGTCTTGTACATGGTACAGTATATTTTATTTCTAAACATAAATTAATGACTCATATTTTAATGAATAAATTTATCTGAATTGAAATTTTGTTTTATCCCAACAAAAAATCATCCAACACAAAAAAATATACACGTGACGTTATAATTAGATTGCACAAGATATCTCAAGGCAAATGAGATAAAACAATTAATTTAAATCTTGAGAGTATTACTTGTTGAATTTTATACTAAAAATACAATGAATATAATTAAGCATTGAAGAATGGGTAGAATTCAAAAAAAAAA